AATTAACTAAAAAAAATAAAACATAAATAAAAAAAATCCTGTTTTTTTTTTTTAAATACGTGAAATATTCTAATAGAATATTACACTGTACTTATTCTAAAAAATAATTTTAAAATGTAAAATCAATGGAAAAATTCTTTTTTTTTTAAAATATTTTTTTCGGAACTTGATTTAACCAAAAAAAAAATAAAAAATAAATCCCATTTTTTTTAAATACGTGAATTATTCTAATAGAATATTAAATTGTATATATTCTAAAAAATAATTTTAAAATGGAAAATAATGGAAAAATCCAAAAATTCTTTTTTTAAATATTATTTTTAGAACTTGAATTAACTAAAAAAATAAAAAAAATAAAAATAAAAATAAAAATAGAATAAAATGAATGCATCTCACGGTCTCACAAAATTAGGTCGTCTCACATGAACGTAACCCTATATATATATATATATATATATATATATATATATATATATATATTATATATATATATATATATATATATATATATATATATATATAGGAAAAGTGAATATGTGGTTGTTATGTAGGTAACATTAAGTATAGAACCATAAAAATAGACTTCATTTTAATTACAAAAACTCAATTTTTTTCATTGTTAGCTTCTTCTTATTGCCTTTGAGTTCATATTATTTTTAGTTTCATAATTTATCCCCAACATCTATGCATTCCGAATGTGTTGTTTATATTAGACATCTAGTGGGCTTCATAACCTTTTTTAACACCTTCCATATGTACATATGCATGGTTCTTTTTGATTTGTTATGAAAATTAGTATAGTGAGTTTTTAATGAACAATTTCAATCTTTCACTATAGTTTTCTATATTAAATTTTGATATGAAGACTTATAGGTATAGTTGATAATGTAATCTTATACATAGTTTTTTTGGTACAAAATTAAATACTTAAAACTCCATAAAAATATGTATTAAGCGTATCATCTAGTCTTATATAGGATACAAAAAAGATGGTAGAGAGATTTGATTGCATTTTGTTAAAACTATGTAGTTTTTGCTGGTTCTATACCTAATATTAGATGCATAACAGCCACATATTCCCTAAGCCATATATATATATATATATATATATATATATATATATATATATATATATATATATATATATATATATATATATATAGCTTAGGGAATATGTGGCTGTTATGTATCTAATATTAGGTATAGAACCATAAAAAACTACATAGTTATATATATTATATATATATATATATATAATATATATTATATATATATATATATATATATATATATATATATATATATATATAGGTATTCGTGAGATGCAGCGACACTGGATAGTTGATTTCAGTAGATGATTTTCATACGACAATTAGTTTCATTTTCATATCCGATAGTTTGTTTCAACTTCTTTGCGTATTTTTTTGTGTTTGGTAGTTCCTTTTGTCAAATAGTTTCTAGTTAGGTTCGTAGATTCGAAGACGACAAAAAGTATCTTTCGGCGATTAGTTTACTATTGGTACGTTGTTTCATAATAAAAATAAATGTATATTACTATTATAGATAAAAAATTAATATTTTGTTGAAATCAAAAGCAAGTTTTTTTTTTTTGTTTCAAATAAAAACATTTTGATATTATGGGTTATACATGAAAGTACGATTTTCCGACGCCACAACGTCAAATATAAGAATCAAACACTCCATGATCACCACTTACGTATTGTTTCTTCCATGCATGTAGGCAATTTTTCAAATCCAATGCTTACAATCGATGCTTCCTAGTATCACTAAAATCATGTTCGGCTTGATGTGCCATATGTAAGTGTTCGACATCACTATGATAAGACATAAGTAAATATATATTACTACAATATTAGTAAACATACACAATTTATTCAAACATTCTCTTGCGGCTCAACAAATTTATTCAAATGTATACAGGTGTTTCAGATATAATTGATTACAAATCATATTTTTAACGGATTATTTTCTTCAATTAGAAATTAAAAGAATATCATTACTAAAATGGCAAAAAAAAAAAAAAAAATTATTCAAAAGTGGAAGCATAGGAGACGGAATAGTGTATTGTCCGTTAAAAACTATCAAAATAATAGTAGGGAAACTAATAGTAGGTTGAAATTTAAAAACTATAAACTAATATCATATTTTTTATTTTATACTTCTATTGCTTAATAAGATTTTTTTTTTAATTTCTTAAAAAGTTATTATATTTTATTTCAAAATTAATTATAGTCTTTATTGGTCATCTTTAATAAAGTATATTATTATATCATGTATTTTTATCTTAAAATAAGATATAAATTTATAAAAAAATAACTATGGTAATATTTTTTAGTTTCATGATAATAGGAAAAAGGCAATAGGTAATAAGCCAGCTGCCACCATGATTATTTTTAAATTTACTATGCAATCACAATGCCATCTCTTTGATTGAGGCAAAAAAGTCCTCACTTTTCTTAAAAAAAAATCTTATCTTTTATTCACATTTTTAGTATAAGTTTATTTTAATATAAACATAGTATCTAGTTTTTTTCATTAAGATTCGATTTCTATAGCGGACCTTGGTCGATTATCAATTTGTTGTTCCGCTTAATGGATTAATGAAATGTTATTACGTGCGTTAGATAGTTTCTTTGAGTGAACAAATCCTTTTCAACGAATATTTATATTTTAGAAATGTCATATTACAAAGAATACATGGGTTATCGAATTTGAAGTACTTTTAGACTTATTAGATTTAAATAACAAACGTTTTAATTAATTTTTTACAACAAGCTATCATTTTATATATAAATTCTAAACTTAGACACACACCTATTTTTCATAACAAGCATCAATGTTTATACTTACATGTCAACAAAAATAGTATATTTTAAGAAAACAACATGCCTAAAGAAATTTAAATTGATCTGTATATTAAATTAAATCAGTGATAACGATAAGGTTGATTACGAATATCATATATAAGAATTTATAAAACAAATACATAATGATATTGAATAAAGAAATTTTAAAATAAAAAAAATAAAAACAAATTCAAAAATTGGATTATTTTAAAAAGACAAAATTACAAAAATCATCCGTGTGGTATGCATTTTTTTGGGTTTTTAGTCCAAATCTCGATTTTTTTGGATTGGTAGTTCTTTTGAATTACTTTGATTGCGTTTTTTGTTCCTATAAATAGTAAAATGACTGTAATACCCTTGGGTATTTATTTTCCACTTTTCTTTCATTTATTTTTAAATCTAATACTAATTTATTTATTTTAAGAATTAAAAAAATAAGAAGGGATCTCTCTCTCTCTCTCTCTCTCTCTCTCTCTCTCTCTCTCTCTCTCTCTCTCTCTCTCTCTCTCTCTCTCCACACAGAGTAACAAAAAAGTAAACCCCCCCCCCCCCCCATCTTGTTCTTCTACACACAGAGTAACGAAAAAGTAAAAAAAAATCTCACCCATCTTCTTCTTCCCCAACCTAATCTTCATTTTCAACACTTCTTTCTACTAGACTATTATCCCTCTGATCCACCTAAACCACCATCGAACACCACCAACCACCATGCCGGTCAAACGGTGCCACCACCACGGTGGTAAGAAACGTAAAATAGTCAAGCAAATACTCGTTAGATGGGCAATTCTTCAGCGCAAAAACCTCGATTTATCCTCCAAGATGCCACCATCTACGGCTTCAACATCTCCGCCCCCATCCTCCTCTTCTCTAACTTTCAGGTCGCTGACTCCTCCCAGAACCACAACAGGTGGTCCCAACGTTTTGAAACTTAGGTCATATATGTATATATGTTCTGATCATTGTCGACGTAAGCTTTGGTACAAGAAATTCAAGATCAATCCAAGTTTTCGTAATCTACGACTTCCTTATCTGCCATTCTATTTTAAGCTAAACATCACAAAACACTAGTCATAGCAAACCCTTTAGGCGTCGATGATGGAATATGGAGTTTCCGTGAGGGAAAAAATCATAACGTTGATGCATCGATGATGGAAGTATGAGTTACGGGAAGAGTGATTGTAAGGATGAGGACATCCACCTCCACTAATGTTTTGTCTGTTCTGTGTAGCCGGTAAGGATGAGGACCTCCACGTCCATTAATCCCTTACCACTGTCGTTTATTGCTTCATACGTTATCATCTCCGATATGTTTGAACTTGTGTAGATGATAAGCCTCTTAGGGTGGAGAAGAAAAGTTTAGAAAGGCAAAGGTAACGGTAATGAGTGGTGTGGTGTTTGTGTGTCGCCGGTAAAGATTTTGTTTGTGTGTGGGGAGAGAGAGAGAGAGAGAGAGAGAGAGAGAGAGAGAGAGAGAGAGAGAGAGAGAGAGAGAGAGAGAGAGAGAGAGAGAGGGCCTACTTTTTTTTAAAATAAATAAATGAATATAAGATTTTTAAAAAATAAAGAAAATAAAAAAATATCTCAAGGGCATTACAGTCATTTCAGTTTACCAAAGAAAAAAAAACCTAATGAAACTACCTCAAAATAACAACAAATGCAAAAAAATCATAGTTTGACCTAAAACTCCAAAAAAAAATCATACATCACCATTATTAAAATTTTGTCCAGACATACTACAGCTCTATTCGAGGGGACTATTGTTCAAAAAAACTTTGGCATAATTTTTTATTAAATTTCCAATGTTTCTATACCACTTCCGACCTCATTGCGAACCCATATGATTACATCTTTTTGTCCTTTCTTTAATATATATATATATATATATATATATATATATATATATATATATATATATATATATATATATATATACTAGTGGGGTACCCACGCGATGCGGCGACGGCTATTGTTCCTTTTGACAAAAAGATTCTAGGCGGAAATTAGTTCTTGTTATGTGAAAAGTTATCTCGGTGAGGTGGTGCGACTGTAATCGTATATGATAATAAATGAAAACCAGCATTTTACCATTTTAATATATATCGATAAAGTTTATACAAAATTTGATCTTATATATCACGCAAAACTTCTTGATACACCATACTTGATGTGTAAATTCCTCTCCCCTGAAATTGGTTTCACTAAGACCTTTGTATTCTCACGGGATATCCCTCTGGAAAGCGCCACATAAAGTTGTCCATGCGAGAATACTGACTCTGGTAGATAAACATCAACGTTTGGAATTGTTTGGCCTTGAGCTTTATTAATTGTCATAGCAAAGCTAAGCTGAATTGGAAACTGTTTTCTTTTCAATTTGAATGGAAACATGTCATCATCGGATGGACAAAGACGGATTCTTAAAAAAAAAAAAAAAAAAAAAAAACCCTTGTTTTCCAGCATGAAGGCCAAACGCTATTTACGCATCGATCACGTTCATCTGAAAACCTCTGCATATCAATCGCTATTACATAAACCATTCGAAGGATCAATATTCCTTAACAGTATTATAGGGCATCCAGTTTTGAGTCGAAGGTAATGAGGAGGTAAACCACTGACATCTATAGAGTTTAAGAATTCCATCGGATAGACATTGTTCTTATCATCTTCTGCCTCATCAAAACTATAGTAAATCCGCTCCTCTCCACAAAACCTATCAATCAATTGATCATTAATTTCATCAACACTTTCAATTTTTGTTGATAGTATCGCCCTGGAAATAATATACTCTGAAGAGCCTCCATTGATGTGCAAAGAAGGAAAGATTGCATTAATCAACTCGTTTTTTCATTTGTCTTGGTCGGTGTAAGGAATGCACATATCATCAAGTATTCGGACAAAACATTCATCGATGGTTTCTTCATCTCCGTTGCCAATTCGTATCAAAAAATCTGAAAACCATGGATCGGCCAGTGCTCTCATACTTATAGTTAAACATATTTTTTTAATCAAAGACCAAAGAGGTGACATCCTCAAGCTGGCGTCTACAATCTGTGCTCTAGTACCACGTCCAAGGTTGTAGAGCTCGCTACTCGGTACCTGCTCGGCCGATTGGGGAGTAGCGAGTACTCGGGAGTACTCGGATTCGGTAATTCATGTAAAAAATTTTTTTGGAAAATTATATATGTCAAAATCATAAGTTAAAATCATAATTTGATTGAAATATATAACCAAAATTAGATACATGTGAATACATAAAAATTGAAATATATATAATTGTCTCACTACGTGGATAATTACTGAAAATTTAAAATATATATGTAGTAATAATCACATGTTTGTGTTAAATAAAAAATCATTAAGTGCATTATACATATTTATCTTGAAATTCTTGATTTTTTTCTCTTTTGATGAAAATTTTGACCCTTTGACCGAGTTTGTCCGATTTTTGACCAAGTTTGACTAAGTTTTGGCCGATTTTCACTAAATCCGAGTTTTTTGACCGAGTTGACATTACTCGCCTTGGTGGAGGGCCGATTCCGAGTAATCGACCGAGTACTCGGCTGAGTAGGCTGAGTTTTGCAACACTGACCACATCTGATTACTGGTAACACTTGCCTAAAATCACCTCCCAAGATCATTATGTTTCCACCAAAAGGGAGGCTCACCTTTGTAATGTCTTGCATCATTCGATCCACCGCCTCTACTACTTGCCTATTCGCCATTGATGCTTCATCCCATATTATTATTTTGGCCAAACAAAGTAGTCGAGCAACCCTACTTTGCTGATTGATTTTGCACATTGAGTTATTTTGGCCAAGTGAGATGTTCTCCCCATGGGCATATTATTAGCTGCAGCACCAGATGAAGCTGTCGCAAGTGCAATATGACCATGGGAACGAACCTCGGCAAGTAAAGCTTTGTACAAAAATGTTTTTCCAGTTCCACCAGGACCATCTATAAAAAACACACCCGGACGATTCTGATTAACGTGGGTCATGATCTCATCATATGCATTTTTTTGGTCGGTATTGAGAGAATCTTTTGCACGAAGGTGTTCATCATCCACAACAATGGAGTACTCCGCTTAGACCTCGCGATAATCTCCAGATTCCAAATTGACGTTTGTATTTACCATAGGAAGATCAAACTCATTGAGATGCTTACCCATAGATTGCAAAATTATAGAGATATCCATAAGAACCATGGTTTGAACTCGCTCAACACTTTCACATTGTCGCATATAATCTTCAGAAAGTGAATTATAGTGGTCATCCCATAACTTGCGAACATCTCCGGGTTCGCAATAAATGAGTACAGTTGCAAATAACCTTCTAACAGCACCTAGAAATTGATATAATGAAGCCTCAGTAAGACATTGAGATAGGTTATCATCGGTCTTTATTAACCCTCTCTCAAGAGCAGCTTTATGAAATGTTGGATGTCACACGTTGTTCACCATGTAAAGATCTTCAAATCATGTTGGCCCTCTAACATGTGATAGGAGAACCTGTAGGTAGTATCTCTCTCCTTCGGTAGGGTTAGCAGAAACCGATCGGCCTCTCATTGCTCCTTTTTTCCTTTGCTTCCAACAACGTTTGGTTGAACTCCATGTAAAGTATCTTGGGAATTCTTTATATAGATATTGCCTCACAATCTCATCCATTTTATTCATGTTAAAAAATGCAGTCAACATTGAACTCTTATCTTTCTCCCTATCCACAATATCAATCATTGAATCATTATCTGAGAATCTGACCAATTGTTGGTTCGGGAGATGAAGATGCAAAGACATGACAAAAGGGTAGATTTGAGAAAGCGCAAATCTAAAAATCCTCTATATTGCCTTAGGGGGTGAGACGTAACGTGCGTCTTGATATCTTTTAATCTCATTGATGATGGGTTCCGCTCCATCTTGATCAATGCAGACAACTTGTTTGTCATGTCCCTTGTAAACGTATTTAAAAGCATATTTCACAGATTTTATGCTCAAGCAAACCTCGACATTCATGTGGCAATTGAAAATCAATAATAGCTTCGGGTTATATGGTACCACCCATCTGTTATCAAGTGTATTTCCTCGTACGTTGACCTTTATCCCATTGTTTCTCCTCCTATATAATAGATATGAGTCTTCTCTTTGTGTCGTCGCTTCATTAAATTGTCTAGGATATCTCCACCGACATTGTTTTGGCTCTCCTTGCATACATGGACTGGTTTCTCGTAAATGACCACAAGGACCGTGCATCATGTGCTTCACAACAATTTCGTGCATTTTGGGATACTTTTTCGGATCGGGAAGTTTAGCACACACCATTTTTGGGTTTTGAGCATTTTAACACTACTAAGTGTACATGCAACCCTAAATACCTTGGATCTATGTTTTCTCTATTATACATACAAATATGATCTTTCCAAGGTATTCATCCTATCTAGCATAATAACCTAGATTCATATGAATATATCAAGTTAGAATTACATACCTCTTTGATGTAGAATGTCTTCATGAAGCTTGAGTGCCTAGTGCCCCAAGTGTGACACCTCAAATGGTTCACACAACACCAAATACACTTGGAATAACGTGAGAGAACATACACACTTCATGAAATCGGATAGCCCTTTCTATTCACTCATTGTGGCCGATTTTGTCAACAATAAGATGCTTATATAGTTAGTGACAATTAGGGTAAACCCTAATTGTTATGGCTTTCCATTTCCTTGGATCCATGGGTTTAAATACACCATGGAGCATCCATGGAGCATCTTATGGGTTTTAGCCATCTTGACAATCCATGAAGCATTAGCCCACTATACAAGTATGGATGATTTACACAATCAACCCATATATTTAATTAGTCTTCTTTTGATCACTTAATTAATCTTAGATTAATTCTTGATCATTAAAAATTAAATAATCTTATTAATATATTAGAACTTATAATATATTAACAAACCTTAAGTGTTATTTCTCTCATTATAGTCTATCCAAATGCATGATGACATGCAACCCAAATGGACCATGTCGGGTCGGGTCAAGTCTCACCAATTATAGTTATCGACTTAGACATTAATTCAACAGTCTCCCACTTGGATAAGTCTAAAACTATTATTGCGGATGTCTTCAAAAACCAACTGGCAATCGTAGCTCTCAAAAGCTTCTGTCGAACTCTGACCTTGTCGATGATCTCTGACCTTTGTCAATGACTTGTCCATTAGATAAGGGATCATATATTCCTCCATTCTAGATATCATATGGACCGAGACATGGATTATAATCATTCTCTCTGTCCATTTGTTGTTTCTCGATTTCCGATTTATGACGACTGACTAATTTAACAAATCCAATCAGTCCAGGCCCGACCAAGCACTTACATTTTTCATCACCAAATCATCAAGGGGCCCACATATATCTCTTTTATCCCGAAGGTAAAAGGAATGGATAAACTTCGACTCATATGGCTTGTTCTACTACTTGTTGAATCATACACAAAGACACGTTTTATAACATCGAGTTACTGAATGCGTTTTCGTGCAATCAATGTACAACCAACTCATAGTAACAACTCATATATCTAGGTTTGAAGAATATAAGATATTATCGTCTCATGATCACTCGTGATAAAATCCATGAAGTGATTCCAATGAGCGTGGGTTGAATCCAATACTCAGAACTTATGAGCACTCATGAGTGTTGTGGCCCTTTGTCCAACATCTTAGACCTCTACAAGCCAACCCATGACAGTCTTAATTCGTATCTACTTCCAACATATGACCGACTATTAGCGGTTTGAATAACTTAGTCATCCAGAACAATGACCTAGTTATTTAGGAAGTTAAAACATGCAAAGTGAAACACAATAATAATTGAATCCAATATGGTATCAAAACCTATGAACATAAATAAAATACCTTTTATTTATCACCATATGATTACACATTATTCATTGTATACTGTTTCAGCTATCAACTTTATTCTTGAATTTAAAATAATAGTTGTCCCATGCTCCAAGCATGTACACTATGTTTGCTAAACACTAGTCATGCCATACACCATGTATGCATACTATGTTTGTCTATGGTCTTTACTTTGTGAAAGAGATCGATTGAACATAATTCAATGATTCTCATTTCACAGTCCCAAATCCTTACTACAAATGCAAGAATTCCAAATTCATGCCATTTAATGAAATCCGTTAGATTCTAAAATTATATGCATTGATCCTCTTTTAATGATTATGCACAAAGTTAGAAAAACTTGACAAAAACCATTACAGAGCATTCCAAAGGAGATTAGATCCTTGGAAACATTCTTCTTGCATTTAGTTTCCTAATCTTACACAGATTGAATAATTTCTAACTTTGAAACATTTTTAAATTCCATTTTGACTATCACTTCTGAACAAGAGTTTCCTCCTTACAGATTATGTCAATATGGTCCTTTTAGAATTATCACTACACTTCCAACTGTCCTTGAGCAACCAATCTTGGTAAACCTTAGATTGTCCTCAACAATTGTTTAATCCTATTAGTCATATGCAATTCTAGACCTTTTCCCTTCTTAATGCCCCAGGCATTTGGAAAATTTTAGAAAGGATGAATATAGCACATGTAATCGATCCTATATCCGAAGCATATGGGATACAATTCATGATGTCTCACATAAAGACTAAACTAGTCTTTTGCTATAATATTTCTATTTCACTTTGCCAAGTTCTCATAATTTCTGTAATGCCTGTGTTTCTGGGCTTGTCATTAATGTTGATATAATAGTCTAGGTTAACCTTTGTAGCCCGTTTTGAAATCATAAAGATGTATTATTTGAGTATTATGTGTTTTATGCTTAGTTGTGTGACTTAATTGAATTAAGAATAAAAACAAGCATCAAAATGAAATGTTAGATAAGCTCGATACCTATGGATAATGTTGTAGTAGTTGAAACGAGGTTTCAGAATATATAAAGAATGCCAAAATTCGAGTTATAACGAAGAAGTTATGACCTATCGAAGTTTCGTGACAGAACCGGCAACGCTGAATGACGTAAAAAGTGAAATTTACGTTAGAGTGATATTTAGCCTTAGTGATCTCAACGAAAGTCGTAGAGTTCATTAAACCAAGAGCGTGCATAAAAAGAGTGCCAAAATCTGACTTCGTATGAGGAGTTATGATTTTTCGAAGTTTCGACTTAACAATATGCAGCCCGAATACCCGATTCGAGATCGAGTAATTGTTGGTTGAAACAATTTAAACGAGAATCGAAGATCTCGTTGATAGTAGTGCATTGGTGAAAAGACAGACGAAAACGGACGTCAGATAAAGAAGTTATGAATTTATAACGGAGTTTTCTTGTCCCGGCTTACTAAAAATAAATAATAAAAATAAAAGTCAAAACCTACCGACGGAGTCTAAACAAAAGTTGTAGAGCGTAGTCTCACCTACGCGTACCCCGATGCATGCACTACCTCGGACTCGAGTGAACTGATGACGCATGCAGTGATGTTTTTGGTCACGTATGCCCTGCGTAACTGAGTACACCCAACGTATGTGCGAGGCTCAACCTCTATAAAAGGTATGCAAGGGCAACATACTTCTTTTGCCAATTTCTCTTCTCTTTCTCCCGTTTTGCATCATTTTGCATGCCAGAAGTATCCCGAAGCCCCGAAGATCCCAAGAAGTGCAATTCCCGAGTTGAAGCTTTGCTCGCGAGAAGCCCTGTTTTTGTGAAGATCTTCCAGATCTACTGAAGAACACTACTTCCGCAAGTCGTAGTGTTGTCCGATCATCTTCTGATCAAGTGAGTGTGTAGTTACTTTCTTCTAACGCTTAATTATGAAGTATTTTATATAAAATACGTGTTATGTGTATATTTTGTTGTTATATGTGTGAATATATATTCACTTTCTTCTATCTCATAGATCTGATTTATTCTCTATGAACGTGTTATGTGTGTGTGACTCATCTGTTATGTGGAATGTGTGTTGACTGAACATGTTGTACAGGTTTTAAACTATGTATAAAAATATATATTTTATCTACTAATATGTTGGGTACAACATGGGTAGATAGTTGATGTGTAATAAACAGATGAGAGGCCTCGATGTTGTTGATGTTGACCTAGTCATCTAGCGGAGTATGGATGATGACCACAGACTCTTTCTAGATAGTCCAGTGGAACGCTAACAGGTTCATAACCTGTAGGTGTTGTGAACGATGTGTTCACTGGGGTACTCTATCCCCCTCATGGTTGCCTTTAGGATATCTATTGTTGAGGAAACCCCTTAGCAGGAATATCCGTCCTGATGAAAATCCTAGATTAGGTCCCTTGAGATAGATGTTGTTTTAGGGACATAAATTGAGGATAAATGGAATGGGTAATCGGGTTATTGTTGGTTGGTGAAATTAAATATAATTATTTATTGTGGGTTGAAAACCCTATATGCTCACTAGGCTCCCAAGCCTGACCCATTCAGTTTTATTTGTATTACAGGAAGTGGCGCAAGGGCATAAGATGGATGAATCATCAAGATATTTTGTTTACAAGTCTGTATATGTATATATTTGTTGAATGACTTGTAATGTTATTGTTTATGCTTTATGGTCTGTATCGGAACATGACATCCCGAGTTTTGATTATATAATGAAAATGCGTCTCTTGATGAAATGCTTTGATAAATATTATCTTATCATATTTTGTTTTTGGGAAAAAATTCCGCAACTCTTTTAAATTAAAAGGATTTACTCTGAAATTATTTTAAAAATCATAAATGAAATCGGTCTTTTCTGGCCGAGATTTTGGGGATGTCACAGTTGGTATCAAAGCATTAGTTTAAGTTAACTAGGAATTTATAGGATTTCTAGACATAAACTTAAAATGATAAGTGGAGATTGTTAGATGTGTGGCTGCTATATTTTAGACATGAGCGCTATTTTATTTTAGGAAAGTTGCCTAAAATGCTTTTATGTGCTAAATGTTATATGTTGCCATATATGATATTATTTGTTCCGAGTTATGGTCTATTGCCGACCGGATCTGGAAACCTTATGTGTTTCGGATTCTAAGCATATGACGACGGTATTAGAACTAGCATGTAAACGTTTCGGGTTGATAAGGATGATTAAATTATCTACCATGGATGAGGATCTAATTTCACCTTATTTGGTTTATAGATAAAAAATGGTGAGAACAAGGAGTGGCGTTGGAAACGCGGATGAAAATAGGAACCAACCGCCAGTGATTGAGCACATACTTGTTGTAGTAGCAGCACCAGAACCAATAACAATGGATGGAGTGCAAGCCATGATTCGGGCTATGTTAGCCGA